GTTAATGCCCTGTAAAACCAGCTTGTCATCTGCTCTGCCCTTGTACCACTGCTTAAGGTATCATGCTGGTTACAATACATATTAAACTGATGGAAGTTCAGGCTGACACTTTGTCAAGACCAAAGCAGCTAGCAAAGCCAAAAGCAAAACAGACAAACAGCATACACAGAGCTCCAGCGAATTAGATCTCGTGTAACTCAAAATATAAAAAAAGCTACTGAAAGAATGTTCTCAAGCTGGATAGGAATGCATCTTAATAGGTTGTAATTGCAACTGTTAAACTGTCATACATCGTCAGTCCCTTTAAGAAAGGCTTTGTCAATCAATTTGACATACAGTCGAAAATTAAAAGACTTCAGTCAAAAGAAGTGTCAATCAATCAAAATATAAAGTAAGAGTGGGCAATGTGTCCAGAAAGTGTTATTTATATATATTATGATGGCTACTGAAAACCTCCACATGAAAGCTGACAGTCTGTCACTTTTTATTTATCTTGCCTCAACTTACCGTCGTAATATATAGGCTACCACAACTTTCCAATTTGAGAGCATCCCTATTCTTCAGGTCGAAGATTGCATTGAGAGGCTTTTATATTATATACTTTTTAAGCTAAATGTAATACAGGGCATACACTTTCCATTCCGTTAAATGTATTTATTTAGAGTTTTGTATAAATGTAGACACCGCCCTGCATTTTCTATCTGGTTAAATGCTTTGAAAATATGGCAGTTGTGAATGTTAATGTAAATACCATGTGACCTCTCAACTCTGCAATCATGCTTTCCCTGCGGTGCTGATGTAACGTAAGAGAGCCCTAAAAACTTTTACAGAACACACATACACATACATAACAGGGCATGCAATCAAACCAAAGAAAACATTTTGCTTTGCATGATGAGACATTATTGTCACCATCATAAAAAGCATATTGCTTTTGCATTACATACAGTTTTGCATGTGGCTCCATGTCCCATTCAAAGCAAAATACCACCTCTTTTATCTGAGCCGAGCCACAAAAAGAAGGTAAATAACAACTGAAACGCACCAGTTTAAATAATCAGAATATAAAATGAGCATGCATATACACTGAGAACTACTTTATGTGTCATTTTCAAACACACATAAAAAGGGCATGGGTCACTTCATCCCCATTTTAACCACAATGAGTGGGACGTAATTTTGCAAAACAGATTTTCACTTCCCTTTAAAATGGCTCATTCCTCCCCTAATTCCCTTATTATATCCACGCAGTTGACGGCGTATGTTATGAGGTTTGGATAATGAAGTCTGGAATACACTGAGAAATTGTTATGTTTATTCAAAACACAATCTTTCATGCCATATCAAATCAACTGAAAATTATGTTTTCCTTCAAAGTGAAACAGGGTGAGATAATATGATAAAAATCAGCTCATCTTAAGGGTTTTGTTTAATAAAGTTCCCTGATTTAAGCGAGTGGTCTGCTTTATTGTACCTTGATTTAAGATAATGATATTGGAATTGACATGAAGAGTGATGCTTTCACTGTAATGGGAACATTGCAGATAAGGAAGTTACATCACCACTAAACAAGATTCTAACTTACTTTCCATAATGAAACAAGAATTCCTTAAAATATGAGGAATTACTCCTTAATTTACCCTTTAAACCATACTGAACCCCTTAGAAGCAAAAATTACACCTTGACTAATTTAATTTGAAAAACATTTAATTAAGAACATTTTAAAAGATATGTGACTTTTTTTTACATATTAATCCGTTTTTACTAACACTAGACTAATGTTACATCTATTCCTCTGTTCTGTTTCTGTTTCCTACACAGCAATACACCAATTGTATTGTACACTGTTTTCTTCTCTCATTGGTCAGTTGCTCTCTGGTCAGTGCTCAGTTGTGTAATGTCAGACTTCCAGTCTTTTCTTCATCAGCAGTTTGTAATTGCTAAACAGTGTGTGGGTGTTGCTAAGGGACAATACATCATGATATAAACCAGAGTGACCGTCGAGGAGTTTTATGTGGTTAAATGTCCACCTCCACTCACAGAATTCCAGATTTTTTTTACCTAAAAAATTCATGAACCATTCATGATAATTTAATTAATTTTAATAAGTAATAATAATAATGTATTATATGTAAGGTTTCAGATCTTAAATTGAGTGTTTTCATAAGGGGATTTTAAACCTTACAAACCCAATAAACTGTGCCTATAATTTATGGAAAAACAAAATAAAAAATCGCTAAATACAGTATTAATATTATATATTAATAATTATGTATACATTCATTTTCTTCGTAAAACTCTTTACATTCCCTTCATTTCATCATTAATACTGGATAAATTATTGAAATATGAGGTAAGGTGAAATATTAAGGGATTCTGTTTCATAGTGATCAAAGGATACTTTTTTTCTTGTTTGCTTCATACTCTTGCATAATTCTTCCGATGCATTGCAGTATTTCCGACAGCAAGTTTCATTTAATCTTGTAACCAGTTCAGATGACACAGTTTTCTGTGGACGGGAGGGATGTGAACTCAACACCAGATGCATTACATCCCCCTGAGGATTAGGAACCAATATACCATCATCATATCCAATATCCTGCCTGGATGCTCACTCCTAACAGACATGTCAAGTTCACACACACACACACACACAGTCATTCGTTCTCGCACATAGACCTCACCTAACATAGGTGCCTTTAGCCTGAAGCATTTCAGAATGTTTAAGTGAGTTTGACCATAAATGATCCTTTTCAATAAACATAATATATTCTGAAGGATAGCCTCAAACAAATATGGATACTGCAGCATATTGTACTATTTATAAGGCATTACCTACAAATACATATGTATAATTCATCTAGTATATTAATAACCACCAGTGTACTCCTAACCAAAAGATAAAATGTGTATCATGCTTTGATTTGCCAAGAGCACATGGTTTATGTGAGCTGGAGATGACATGCCCAGATGTCATAAATCTTTAATGGGCACTCACAACCAAATAAACACACCTTTACCCTGAAGTCTTACAGAATCAATTCATATGTTGTTGTCACAAAAATAAAAGCAGAATTTATAGCAAATAGTCTGTGATATATATGCACATCATAACATCCTGAAAATTGACAATCTATCGACTGACAACGTGATTTGACCACATAGATGCTTCCGGACTCACTGACTCCTTTTACACCTGGCATGAACAAGTGATCTATACCTGAAACACATTAATGAAATGTAAATCCGTTCAGAATGCACTGTGATCACAACATGATTGGAACGCACATTACGCTTCCACCATAGTTTCTCCTTCATGTTTGAAAGGACAAGGTGAAGCGAGGGTGTTGCAATCTGCAGCTGCACCACTAGATGCCATTCGATCCCTCACACAGATCCTTTAATTAAATGCATAGCAT